TTCATCTTTTGGTATATTGTGCTAGTCATAGGTGTTCTATAAGCCAATCATGTGAGTGATGACACGTGTGACACGCTACGTAGTCTTTTTATTTATTATTATTATTGATATTTTCTTACTTTATGTTACATGTTACATATATTGTGATATCCATAGATTTATACAATGAGAATTGGATCATGATAAGATCACGATAATGAGACCGATTCATATTTAAACACATACCTTAAATAATTCCGGTGATAGGTTACTCGAGAGGGGCATCAAGATGACCGGACAAACTAGTGTGTTATATACATATCCATATAATGGAGATGACTAGTCTCATAGCTGCTCGTGTATGGGCACTAAGGATATAGTGCAGTTGCTTATTAGAGAATGAGTTCATTGATTGAGTCGCTCACAGAATGCTGAATGGTTGATGATACCTCATTGTCAAACAACGATTCTGTGATTCCATTTATATATTTGGTCCTTAGATTTGAGACATCAAGAATGTCCTATATAAGTACTCTACTCTTTGATACTAAACTTATAGGTTTGGAAGTTCTAGATTAAGCACAACATGAATTGAGAGTGGAAACCAACCTTAGAATGACAATTGAGTATCGATAGAGGATCATCCGCTCTCAGTGTCATGAGAGGAATATCCTATATGTTCTTGTTCAAGCAAATCCCTGGCCAAGGTCATTCAAATTGAGAGAGAAAGAGTTCTCCGGGAGAATCTGATTAGAGCAAGACTCGAGTAGATTCCATTTATGCCTGATAGCATCATGCCCGATATATAGTCTTTGAGATATTAGATGGATGAAGAATGATAGATACATGATAACTAAGGATAAATAAGTCCAATAGATTGGATTCCTCTATATCATTTAGGGATTACGACGTAGTGGTCTAGTACGTCCATAGTCAATGAGTTAGTGAATTATTATAAGAGATGATAATTTACTGAGTCAGAAGGAATTCTAGTAAGTATGATTAATGACCAGTTCTATATTGAGTCTAGAGAGTCACACACATATAATAAGTGTTGCGATGAGTAAATGTTCAGATATAAAATATCCGTTGGAGCCCCTATTTTATTAGATATCCAATAAGCCTATGAATTATTGGATCTTATGGATAAAATCCAATAAGAGTCAATGAGAGATTATTGGGTAGAGATCTATTAATCCATGAGTCTTTGGTAGTTGAATAGAGATCCAGTATCCAATAGGACATGATCCATTATAGTTAAATTGATAGAGACCTCTATAAATAGGAGGAAACTAAAGGGGCATAGGCTAGACCCCTTTTGACTGCTACCTCCTATTCTTCTCCCTTTCTCTCTCTTCCTTAGTCGACAGCCCCAGTTTGGGGCATGTGGACAACAAGAAGGGATAACCCCTTCTTGATCACGTGGTGCACATAGAGAGGAAGATCATACGACAATTTGAGGAGCATCACCATATCTATCATGTGAATCACAACTAGGGAGGAGGACAGTTGGCCTCTTTCATCCACTTATATAGAGTTGGGATTTTACAGGGATATACAACCTCCCTAGGTAATAAATCTCACTTGATACGTGCGATTTCGATTTTGCATTTTATTTTATGTACCAATCTTTGCACGATGATAATAACATTTTTCTTTGGAAAATCTAGGATTTTATTTTTCTGGTCTTCCACTACACATGTGATACTCTATCTAGGTTGATATCACCCCTGTATTTTTTAATTCAAATGGCATGACTCGATAGTAATATATAGACTTTTTAACCAGTACAACATTAGCAAGTCATTGAGGATACTGTAACTTGGTAATAATCTTTGCTCCTAAAAGCTTGTCTACTTCATGGCTAATCACTTACTAACGATCAAGAGCAAACTTGTGAGGCTTTTGCTTTACTAGTCAAGCCTCAAGAGAGATGTTCAAGTAGTGTTGGGCCATGTCTGGGTTGATTCCCGGCATGTCTCTCGGCAACTATGCAAACACTTAGGTGTTCTTCCTAGGAAAATTGATGAATTATACTAGATTCTCCTCGGGAAATGTTGCTGCCATCTTGACAACTTCATTAGGATGAGCTTTGTTCAAGGATGCCTTGATTAGCGACTCCATCATCTCCAGATGTGGGAGGGAGTTAGCAAAATTTTGAGGGTCCATCGACGGTGTCTCAAGTTGAGCCTTCTTCGGTAAGGAGATCGTTATTATATAGCATTGGCACGACTCCCTCGGGTTGTTTCTCAGCTCTCTGATACTGGTCCTTCTTGGGTATTTCATCACCATGTGATAGGTCGACACCACTGCCCTCAAATTGTTGTGTGGGTTGGCCTATGATCGCATTGTACACTGAGGGGATGTTAACCACCATGAATTAGGTCAATGTTTTGGAGCATAGCTCATTCCCAAATGTGACATGTAAGCTCATAGTCTCGAGAGGGGAGATGGAGTTGTTAGTGAACCCCCTCAACAAAGAAGTCATAGGGGTGAGATTGTTCGCCGAGAGCTCAAGTTTTTAAAAAGTATCAAAATAGAGGATATTGACAGAGCTACTTGTGTCAATTATGACTCTCTTCACTTGGGTGTTAATTATCCTTACAGAGACTATCAAAGCATCATCATAGTTTGGGTCAAGGTACTCTATCTCTTTTTTTTTTAGATTATTTTTTAATCATCTTCAGTCTTTGGGAGCTTTTTAATATTAGCTCGGGCATAGGCTTTATGACTTAAGGATTTGTCTCCTCCCAAGGTAGGTCCATTAATAATGACATCGATCTACCTCTTCATCGGCCTCCTAGGTCAAGGCGAAGATTCCCAATGCCTCTGGACAAACCTCCCAAGGCGTCCCCAATGAATAAACTCTTTGATTTGATCATTCAAATCGTGACGGTCCTTCATGTCATGACCATAATTGTGGTGGAAGTGATAATACTTGGATTTATCCCTTCTTTCTAGTAGTTTCTTTATCAGTTGAGGGTGTTTCAAGAGTCCCTTTTTTATCTATGAAAAGACTTCAATTCTAGTTATCTTTAAGAGAGTCAACTCAAAACTCAAGCGAGACAACTCATGTCAGTCATTTCTTCTTCGTCATGGTGACTCAAGTTTGGGCCTTACGGTTGTCACTCCTATCTCGGCCTGTTGCACATCTCCTTGTGTTTACTTAAGACTATTGGCTCCGCGATAATGTATTAGTTGGCCCTCTAAAGCACCTGCATGTCTTGGATCTCGTTAGTAAATCGAACGATGAAGTCGAAGAGTATTTCTTCCTTCTCTTGCTTGAGTCTAAGAACCATTATCGTCGATGGCCTGTAACGCACATTTCCAAGGAAGTAGTAACTCATTTGAGAGCTATGCAAAAGAGTCAATCAAGAGTGGCTCCAAGCGAGTGTATTATTCTCGTGTTGGGCCTCTTAACACTATCAGGAAGGCATAACACATTGAGGCTTTTGAGGTGTCATATAGTGACATCTAGGCATAGAAGGCAATAGTATACTCTATTGATTGGTGCTATCGTCAAAGACCTCCAAAGACAGGAGGCAAAAGTTTGTTGGGATTGGCTCCTTCTAGATGTTTTAAGTGAATGGGGACCGGCCCGAAGTGGGATCATCCAAACTTTCCCCTCTACATTGCTAGAACTCTCGCCGCATCTCTTCTAAGCATTGGTTCATTTACCATAACTATATCATCAAGGAGTTAGTTATCCATCGAATCTACTAACTGGGTCTCAGAGTCGGGTAGAGCAAAGCGGTGGTGCAATAGTGTACTGAATTCCATAGTTAGGGAACAACACTCTCTCAGCCAATAGTTTCATGAACCTTGGGTGATCCTAAGATGCTATCACCATGTCGGGCAGGGGGATCTTAATGGGCACCAATGCTACTAGCAATTGAGGTATTAATCGCGGTTGAAATGATGGTATTACTTGTTGAGCTAGCTAAGGTAGGAGTGGGGCGATAGCTTGCATAATGTCTGTTAGCGTCTACACCTATTGGGTGAGGTTTAAGAACACCTCGATAAGGACAAATATGTAGCTCAATGTCATCCCTCGGGACGAAAGGCCTAGGTCATTGAACAAATGTTAATACTGCATTGGCGTTTATGTCAAAGTGGACGAATCCACGTGAGGGAAGAATGGTAGTTATCCTCCTTGAGTAAAACTGTTATGGGTCAAAGATAGGGCCTTCTCACTGGAGCATTCGTTGAGAGGATTAATGAGCAGACGTTCCTGAGACATCAGACACTCCTAAAGCCAAAATATTAGGGGAAATCATCATCGACATCTAAGTCAACTTAATATGGTCTAAACCCGAGGTGTAGGAGTGTCCAAGGTGGTGACTGTGATGGCTCCAAGCTAGAAGTGTCGAGCTCCCAAGGCGCCATTTGCATTAAGACTAATGTCGAGAGAAATTTTTTGACCCGGTCTCTCCGATGCTCAAGTTAGTGACCAAGAAAGGTCTCTTAATGAGTGTGAATTTTTTTTGAAAAAAAAACTCATAATATCGAGGATTAGCTTTTATACCTTATCTTGAAGGGGACAATTTATAATCACCTTAATATCCTCCTCTTGACATTTTATCCCCGTGAACAACAGAGGAGAGATAACCCCGAATGGTCTCTTAATGCATATGTCGAATGTTGATTCATCGTTAATATATTCTAAATCAATACTTATGTTAAAATTCTAATTTAATCTGCAGCTTCACATTTCCAAAAATGCTAATAAAAAATAAAGTGAAAATTCATTAAAAGAAGTAGCAAAAAAACCAATCATTTAATTGATTACACCTGTATTTTACTTGAATCCGACTTGACCGGGAGTCTATCCATCTTTAATTTGGCTAAAGATAAACTTCAATTCAATCCAATCATTATCAAAATGTCTTCTGAGCTGACCCAGAAGCATCTTATAAAATCACCAAAAAGTTAACCTCAGAAAAACATATTTATAAAAAATTCCTAAAATTCACGTTCTTTAAAGATTTCTAATTGAGTTTAAAAACCCCTATGCTCCGCACTAATTAGATAAATTAAAAGCTACCTTCACATAATATTACGAATAATATACAAGGAATCTCTTTGTAGAGAGAGTTTTACAGAAAACGCTAATCAATGAATCTCTTGGTCTGCTGGCTACAAAATGTTTGTACATACAGACAGTGCCGTTGTACATCTCATAATTGGATACTCATACAGATTTGACCAAAACAAGAGCCAATGGAGATCCAAAGTTGAAGGTGATGCACACTGAATATAATCTAATGTTCAGTGAAGGGGCAGAAAAAATAGAGGTCACTTTAAATTTGTAGCTGAGAAGGGATTGGTGTTGCATGAAGGACACTCAGACTCCTTTAACTGAGCATCTACTTGCTTGATGCATCTATTGTGCAAACATCCCGTCGACAAAGGGGGCATACCCTGCACAGGAAATGAATCGCATAACATAAACATATATCCTGCCTCTGGTTAGACACGGTCGACTGCTTAACAGTGAGCTTATGAAAACATTATATTTATATATAAATTTATATGCAACCGACTCGACGAATGATTGGTAACAGGATTTTAATTTTGCTCCTTTTTTTTCTTCTGGGTGTTATGTCGATGGCATGTACGGTTCTGAGAAGGGACATTTTATTTCTGTATCTACTCCTTGCCATTTGTTCACTATTGTTATTGCCTGACTGCTGGTGGACACTGGACGACAGATGGATGAATGTTTTTTACTTTTCATTCTACCATTCTAACCTCGATCAGGGACAGCAATCTAGTCTCCTGGAAATTAAAGAGGTAAGGGTTTTCTTACTGTTCTAATTACTCTCCCTTTTGAATTTTTCCTCTTTTAGCTAGCACACTAAACTCCATATTCAAATAATACTATATTGTGAGATCACAGTAATAGAAAGAATGTGTACTAGCAACGTATCTTAAAGAAAATTCCAAATCTGTGCAAACAGGTTATGCTATCAACTTAAACATTGTTCGTCAAAGATAAATTATAAATGAACAAGAGAAAGACACATTAGAAGGATACCTGTGAATTTCTTTCAACCATTTATCTATACATGTTCGATGAAATTCGTGATTGCAAGGCAACATCCGCATGCAATCCCCTTCTTCATACTCCACGAGGCAAATATAACATCTATTAATCAAATAGCAACCAGGAGAATATGTAATAAGCATAATAGCTTAAACTTTAAGAGCAACAATTGTTTGTTATATATTTTTGAAAGAAAAACATAGAGAAAATTTTGTTGTACAATTATTTAGCATTTGATGAGAGGTGCAAACTACCAAGTATTGCTCAAACACAAGTATATATGGAGCTACTAACTAACAATAAAAATTATGAACAGCTTGGACTGCAAACTACTGCTGATTGAAGACAGAGAACACATACAGTATTATTCACAGGCTGATAAACTGAACAAGTATGCCATTGCATCTAAGCTTCTAAAAGCTTCAGGGTCAGCGTGATGACAATATTTAGTAATGCAAATTCAAGTCCTTTAACCAATCACCTATCGATCCAAATAGAGGATACAACTGAGCAATTACAATAAGAAAAAACCTGTAAACTCATAACCTTTTAAACCAGCAGCAGTAGAACATTTTCAGGGATAAAGTAAAAAAGGTGCCTGAGCAAGCAAGGGAGTGACTCTTACTGTGCAACCTCCTCGTTTTGGGTTTTTGATGGCTTGCGATATATTTTTACTGGAAAACACTCTACAACCTCCTTTGGTGCAGGAACTGATCCGATGGACGAAAAAGACGGTCGAGAAGATAGAACTACAGACTGTTGGTGGATTTCATCCAAAACCTAAAAGAGATGCATAACTGAAATTGATGTTGCCCTCAAGAAGGAAAATCAAGAAACCAACAAATGTTTTTTGTCCATGGTTTTATTCACTATTCCACTATACCTCAAACAATGCTTCAGCAAGCATAACTATCCTTGATATGCTCGCCCTTGTGCTTGTGTTATCATCAGGATTGGCAGTTTGATTATTTGTTCTGCATGTGCAGTGACCTGTTCGATGCTGACCAGATAATATACATGATCTATCATGACCTAACAAACTCTCAAATCGGCTACCAAGTCGTTGAAGAGCACGAACCTGCAAAGAAAAGTTGATTCTCTCTGGGATTACTACACAAATATGCACAAGTACAAAGATATAATTAAAATTGTCCCACCTGAGATCTTATTCTTCTTCTCCTTTCGAGGAAAGCTGATCTGTGCTCAAACACATCATGATTACCAACTCTCCGTTGAGTATCTGAGGCATCATCATCGTTGGTATCCATAGTTCGAGCAATTTGATAAGGTACACTACTAGAGGAATCAGGCAACAGTTCACTAGTCCTCCGGGAAGAAGAAGGTGCTCTTCCTGCACCACCAGAGGTTTGTCTTCCACTAGCCTGCTCGCTGGACCACACAGGCCTATCTTCCAGAAAAGCAGGACCAAACAAGCCATCAGAGAATGGAGTCCTTCTTAGAACTCTATTTCGGAGCCTTCCAACACTTAGTGTTCTACTAAATCGTATGCTACCTTCCAAAGGTTCTTCAGGTCCAAACCTTCTATGAGAATGCCTTGTATTTCTGGATTCTACAAAGCTCCTATTAGAATATAGACTAATTGTAGCATCTCTGCCTGCATTAATTCGAGCTGCATCTTGGGAAGAGCTTGGTTCCAGAGATTGTGTATCATTTCTATTCATAGAACTATGAAGATTTACTAAAGCATGTTCTCCTGCATCACTTCTCAGGTCAGAGACAGCAGCAGAGAACAGAGGATGGGACTCGGATGAACCCAAACTGACTGCTCTGTTGAGCCTAAAGTTGATATCATCTGGGACAAAGTTCAAATGAGAACATGACCTAACTGAAGTGTTTGATGATGCATCAGCTACAGCATTTGTTTCAGAATTGCTGCTGGGAACCAAATCAATCTGCTCTATACCCCCATTATCTCCTCCACATTGTTCACCATCAGAAGAATGTGAGCAGGGCAACTTACCATGACAAGCAAGTTCAACTTTGTCACAACCATCATCATTTCCACCGCTTGATTTGCTCGCTACTTCAGCACAAACAGTGTGCTTAGGCCTCCCATTCTCTTCTATCTTCTGCACCCAAAAGTGACAACTTATAGACATGTACAAAGACTCTAGAATAGCATAACATAATTATGACAGAATAATTCAGATACCAAATTGAGTAAAACAATAAAAAAGAAGATGAATAGTATGTTCTACAAGATTTGAGATCAACAAGCAAGGAAAGTCCTGCAGGATCTCACAGGGATTCGCTTTGCAAAGAACTTTTATTATGCGCCAGTTAACACACCACATGATTAGCTTATTACAGAATGCATTGGGCAAAAACCATTGACTAGAAGTATATCTTCAATGGGAGGCAAAAATGGACAATGGTATCTGCACCAGAAAAGCAAGGACCAAATCATAAATGTGCTACCTAACAATCATGGCATAAATAATGGAAATATGGTGCCAAAATCTCTCTTCCACTGCTTCTCTTTCCAAAAAATAAAGAAAAAGGACAAGGGTGAGGAAATCTAGGAAAAAAACATTACAATAGGTTAATCTGGCAAAAATTAGAATTATAATTCTCCATGTCCAAAGCTTTCTGAAAATTTTCCAGCATTGAGTGACAAATGGCAGCACCAAGTATAATGAAGATGCAATGTATCTGCTCCAGAATCTTGTTAAGGGGAAAAAGCCAGAGAGGTATCAACTTCCTGACTACCATAGTTAATTGACGCATTTTGAACAGAAAATATAAGTTGGTAATGCTACAAACTTCCGAAAAATGTACATATTTTTAGAGGAAAAACAATCAAAATATGCCAAGTAAAAGACGCACATTCATGAAGTTAAAAGATCTCCATCATGTCATAATGCCGTAGAAGAATAGAAGAATTTGATTTGTTCAAACACGTAACGATTGCAGGCAGGTCAATATAGAGAGCACGTTTGCCTAGATCATTCCCACCGGAAGCAGAATAGAAGAGCACGTTTTCATAGTGTACAAGAGAAGCAGTGACAGATTCTTGTCAGCCTTGATACACTAATAGAATCAGCAAGTACTTCTCTTGTGATTTCAAGCAAAAGAAAGGAAAATGTAAGTAATTCAAGAGCATTTTTGTTGCAGTGTCTCTTGGAATTGGTTTTCGTAAAGCACAGATCGCCTCAAACTAAGAAAGATAATAAATTAAATAGATAAAAGCGCCCTGATCCGCCAACAAGTAATGCAGATCCGGCGTTTCGCAACACAGATCAAGAGCCATTATCTAAACAGATCTAAGGCAGAGAAAGGAAGAAGCGATCGCCCACCTGAATAGAGGAGAGACCGAAGCAGAAGGAGGAGTTGAAGACCCTAACTCCTGTCGATCTCAGCTTCCGGACGCCACCCGACGAAGACGACGCCGCCGCGTTCTTGCTACTGCCAGATCCCATCAGTTACCTCCTCCTCCCTCAATCCGATGTTACTGCCGCCACTCAGATCCGCCCAATGCGAACCAAATCCCCATCATTCCGACAACCAAACCCCAAAAGAAGAAGAAGAACAGTGAAGAACCGGAGGGGAAGAGGAAGCGAAGGAGAGAAACAGCTCGATCCAGAAGCGAAGCCGAACCCTCCTCTCGCTATTACGATATCTCGCTTTATAATGACAACGACGAGAATATATTTGTTCCGATGTTAAAAGGGTATTGGGGGTGGGCGGATGGATGAGGACCGTCAGATCAGTGAGTGACGGTGAGAGATGCAGCGCGTGGTGTTCCAGTGCAAAGTGTTCTTTTTGTTTCGTTGACGGATTTAGAATTAATGACTGTTGTTTGGTTGCTGGGAGCTGTTACGGCCCTTCCATTTAAAAACATTTAAATGCAGGAATGGATCTCGAAACGCGGAGCGTACAGCACTTTGCGGTGGCGCCAAGTTGGCCACCACGACGCTCTCATTTTGTCACTGTTACACTTACTATTTGTTATTATTATACGCAACCAGAGGCAGAGACTTACAGGGTGGTGGGGATCTGCTGGTGCTTTATGGAACAGCAACAGGGGAACGTGCCAACAGATGACTGCCACGTCGACTAGTTCCCTTGTAGCCGGGGAAGCATTGGCATTTCGGCCATGTCATCGTCCGATGTGCATTCAAACAATTCCTTGGAATGCTTACCAGAATGGCTGGCTCGACACGGGCGCAAAAGCGACCCGGAATGCTCGCAATTTTTTGTTTTTGGTGAACACAGTATTCGCAAAATCTTGTGATGTGCTCTTTATTGCGACAAATTCTCGACTAAAAGAAACTTACTCGCTGAGGTATTAGGGAACTTTGGAGAATGGAGAGTTTCACACGTGTCTCACGCCACATTTAAAAGTTTCAATAGCGATTCTCTTTGAATAAGATAATAATTCTGATTTAATTTAATTTTAAAAATTAATATAATATATACAAAATATTTTAAAAAAATAATTAAATTTATTTTATTAATAAATTAACTAAATTGCTCCGACAACAATTCATGCGCAGATTGTCACATAAACCAATTAGTAAATAAACAGGTAACCAAGAAAGAGCATAAACCTAAAGGCTTAAGCTTATTCGTACAATAGGATTGCTTGAGAAGTAAATTTGAGCTGTGAAAGGGGACCACCTTATTTTCTCCAAAATGGTGGTGCTTATTACAAGCCCTTCTTTTTGGAATGCCAGTTTTCGATACTACTAAACCAATTCCACTGGAAACATAAACCCATGAAGCGCATGAATCCGGCACCAAGCACCTCAGCTAATGCAGTCAAGAATGAGCTCTGTGGGGACAAACCAGCTGTTGCTATAGATAGCATAGTCCCCTCGAAGTTGCAGGGAACAATAAACCTTGAAGATTTGATGCCATCTAAAGCTTTTTTAGCGACATCATCGGCCTTCATACCACCAGAAGACCCTGCTATGATATTGGTGAGATCTGGCCGCCTCCTGTGCTCTGTATTCAGCAAGAGAAGTCATGTAATCATAATAGCTTGTTTTAGGAAAACGTTTGAGATCAAATGCTATGATATTGTCGCAATGCTAACAATGGTTAAATGGGTCAGAGAACATCGAGTCCATTGTCATATGTTAAGACACAACACATGATTTATATAAAGAGAATAATAGCTCAAACTAGTAATTGCAGATGAACTAGCAACAAAGGTAGAAAGAACCATCCCAAACTTTTACTGCTTTTATTTGAATAAATACCACAAGGTTCAGCATAACAATGATAATGATGCTTGTTCTAGTACTTATTCTGCGGATAAAGCCCATTGACATTTCTCTACCAATCAAACTGGTATAAAGCAGAAACTAAGATACCTTAAGGTGAGCATGCTTTCTTCATTTATATGATATGATGCACAGCAGTTGAAAGGAAGGAGATGAACACTTTTTCAGGTAAGGCTTTTCTGGTCAAACACCCTTTTTTTCAAATTTGTCAAACGTGTTGACTTCACAAATTCATATTGATGAACACTGTGGTCCACAATTGGTAATTCGAACTCTGCTGACATTTCAAATGAACAGTGCAAGAAGATCACAAGGGACTCGTTGCATACCTTCGGCAAAACCTGGAGTCTCTGTATCCGGAGGAAATATCATGGACACATGAATGTCGTCAGCAATGACCTCATGCTGCAGAGCCTCCGCCAAGCCGCGAAGTGCGAATTTGCTAGCGGAGTACGCTGTGTAACCGTAGACACCCACCTACAGCACGGAACGGTAACCAAAAGATCACAAATCTTCGAGTTCCAAGAATGTTAGGGAAGAACGATGATACTGATTAAAAGATTAGACCGTCGAGGGGACCAAATACTTGCAGATCGGTAGATAACAAGTTGGGCGGCCATTAAGAAAAGCATGCTCGAAAAAGTAGTTCAATCATTATAAGGGGTCAAACGTCGAACAATTTAGCGGCGGTACCTGGCCGGCCTGAGAGGACATGATGGCGATGGAAGCAGGGAGTCCCGTGACCTTGGTTCTCTGCTTCATGGTAGGCAGCGCAGCCTTGATGAGGTTGAAGGTACCCATAAGATTGACCTCCACCATGAACCGCACTTCCTCCAAATCCTGTTTCTCGAGCTCTTGCGGCGTGAACACGCCGTGGTTGCACACCAGTACGTCGACGGGCCCGGCCGCCTCCACCGCCTTCGCGACGGCGTCGGCGTCCCGAACGTCGGCACTGAATATGGCAACGTCGACGCCGGTTGCGAGGCGGATGGCGTCGCGGGCCTCCTGGAGTTGGGCGGCTCTACGAGCAAGGATGGAGACGTGGGCGCCCTCCGCGGCAGCGAGGCGGGCGAGGGCGAGGCCGATGCCGCTGGAACCCCCGGTGATGAAGACATGGCGGCCCTTGATGGGAACGCGCACGGGGCGTGGGCGTACTAGGAAGGCGAGGACGGCGGCGAAGACGACGGGAGCCATCAAGACGGGGAGGAGGAGCAGAGGAGAGGCCATCGAGTGTTGGGAGAACAGAATTGGGACGGCACGAAGAGACGGAGCTTGTTTCTGAGCTCTGTGCACTCCGATCCAACGGTATTCTTGAGACGGAGCAATATGTATATATACAAGTAGGACGAGCGAATGGGAGTGGCTGAGCCGATGGATGAGTCCTGACATCCAAAGATCAACGGTTCTAATACAATCGGGTGGGTCGAGTCGAGCCCACCATAGAAGACCGGTAATCTTCTATTCATAACGTATCCAACACTCACTCTCTGACCATCACAATTAAATGGTAATGCAGTTTGACTAGATCTGACAGGCTCAGGAACTTTGACCACATCAAATTGGAACGGAGAAGAGATGATTGGTGGGGTGGGAGGGAAGGATTCGGTCCTGAACCCGCCTCAAAGGTATGACTTCCAATATGAAAGCCGAACCAAAAAAGTCAAGTCAGTCACATTCTTACTCCCTTTCAAGTCAAAGAGGAACAGAAGTTTGATTGCAATAAGATTGTTAATTTATTTGATATGTTATTCCTAAATTCGATAAATAACAGAATTTAGTTCAGACTATTGAGTCCATGCAACATAAGCAGAATTGATGACAAATAATCGATAAATATAAGAAATATTATCCTGTTAGAGAATTCGTCGGAAAGTTGGCACCTTCATGAGTTGCCGAAGCAGAGAATCGAGCGGGCATGCATTAGCAACATTAGCTCGACGATAGCCGCCGCCGCCGCCTGGTCATGCACAAAGAAACAATCAAAGCATTGATCATGATCAACAATCGAAATGAGAGCTCTGCCAGTAAATTAACCTCCGACCAAAACACAACATCAACAATTTTAATGAGAGGGAGAGAGCACTGCGTGCTGTCGAGTTCCAATGACATTGACACAGAGAGAAAAGGTGCAGGGGAGAGGTGAGGAATCCATGTTGGAGAAGAGGAGCACGTGCAGAGATGGAGAGGGGGGGGTTTGGAACGAAGCTTTGCACGTGACCTGCTTCTCCAACAAGGGTCTCCTCACCTAAAGAACAGGATCCATCGAGATCCCATGTTTGCTCCGAAAAGCATCAGCAAACGAGGGTGAGGAAGATGAGGCAGCTCGTCTTCCAACTATATAGCAGCAGCAGTTCACCAATGAGTATGGAGTCTTAGAGTGGGTTTGGCAAAGGGAGAAGCGTATGGAGCAATGGAACGACGAGGGGCCCCCTGCTTCCTATTTCCACACATTGCAAGCCTCTCTGTGCGTTGGGCCAGCGAAGCCAGAGCAGGGAATCCTCCTTCTAGGACAGTTCTGACTGACGTTGTTGGCTCATCTGCTGCCAAATTGTCCACGTAGAAGGAACAGACAAATAGCCACGTAAAGCAACCGAATGAAATGGAACAACGACAGTTTTGATGAGATGTCGCAAGCATCAATAACAATAGATTGAGTGCAGGAGTTGATCATAATTTTTCTTTCCGTCTTTCTCGAGCTTTTGTTACGTGTACACCACGTCAGTGGATCCTGCTCTTGCACGAGAAGTTAGCTGTCCGTGTAAAGTCAAAACAGCACCCGGAGTTAGTGAACAATCACCGCTTATACTGACTCCGTATCAACCCAAATCAACGTGTCGTTGAGTCGTAAATGATTGATCATGACGTGTTGGATTAGGATTACATCATTGTGTCGTGTTGAACATAGACAACAATAGAATCCAATGATCATCAGAACCGAAGTCGACAAAAGAGTTGGGATCTGTTCTTAGAGCACATCGTGACAGATGTTGCAAGATGGATGTTCTCTGAGGACAGCTTTGATGTCGCTCTTAAGAACGCAAATATTATAGATCAATTGTCGGATAAAACACAGAAAAACTCTCGTGCTTGATATGAGACAAGACAGCGCTTCCCAGAATTGCTGCAGCGATGACGGGGGCCTCAGCTCTTTCCTCTTAAGCTTCAAAGCTTTGAATACTCGAGGAACGACTAAAGAAGAGAAGAAAGACCTTGTTTGGATTAAATATTATGTTGTTGGGTCATCTATGTTTACTGATCTCCAACGTAACATAATTTGTACTTCAAGGTCATCTTCCTCGGCCTGTCTCGAAGCTGGCAGCTGCATTTTTCTTCCCTCAAGTAACCCGGTAATATCATCATGAAGGATTGCTTTCACCTCTCCATTTCCACTG